AGGAAATAAACAGAACAACATTACTTCAAGAAAGAAACTGTAGGAAGGCAGCATCTGAGGAAAAAAGAATTAAACCGAAATTAACAAATATACTGGCATTCTTATTATGGACAGCTTTTTTTTTGTTCATATTATCAGGTTATTAAATAAATGTGAAACTCTGTTGCACACTTATTCCCAAGCCTTATTTTTTTTTTGCTAAGGGCTATAGCTGTTAAATACGTAACCTTCCTGTTGTCTGATTAGGTCCATTGAGAAAGTAGTGCACCAGTCCACCAAAATGTGTGGCTTTCTACCAACCAGAAAAAGACAAGTGCATTCAGTATTTTCCGTAGTAAACTCTCAGATCAAGAACTCCTTTCTCCTTTCCATAACAGTGCATAGTGTAGCAACATTACAATCTTCTCTTTCTTTCTTTCTTGTAAATCAGACCGAAGGGAAGAGCACTTTCACTTCCTTTATAGGATGGAATGTGGTGTCACAGGGATTCCTCCTTGGTGAGTAAGTCCTGATTTTATTTTTCCTTCTGTGCTGTCAGCCAAATTCACACATCTATGTGTAATCAGTAAAAAGACTGATTACAAATGAGTAGTATAACTAAATTAAGCCAACATACTTCAATGGAGAAACCAACACTTAGCTTTAATAACCAGCACTTGAAATTGATTCGGTGCTGGTTTATGGTCGGTATTTTTTCATATGTAACTTCACATCACTATGGAAATAGTGATCTTAAGGTTGTGGTCTTAATAGATTTAAAAGATTTTTTTACATACTGCTTGTGGACCAGTTTGTCCCAGTTTAAAATAGGATGTATTGGAAAAACTGTAGCCCCTGCTGTACTTAGCTTATGGTGCCTTAAGCGTTTTTACTTTTCTTCTGAGTCACACTTCAGTCAGGTTCATAGCTATATTTTTGTATGTACTTCAAGCAGGATTTTTTTGTCATGCTTAACCTAAATTTTGGGGAGTTCTGAAAGTTCATTGGCAGGTGTGTTAGTACTAGACTTGAACTTGATTCTCTGCATAATAAAATAGCACTTTAGCATACGTCCATTTGCTGACTTCAGTTGTAGTTTATTCTGATATTTATAAAAAAAAAAGCTTAATGAAAGCTAATTCTAGTTGTCACTTATTTGAAACATCTTTTTTTTTTTTATTTTGAGACAGCTCTCATCGGGGCCTAACAGCAAGGTTGGTTTTATTTCATTCTTAGCATGGTCTCGTGCTGTGTCGTGTGCATGTAGAGGCTTTTTATTGTTTGAGAAATAAAATGCCATCTAGTCT